AACATATTTATTTTTGTCCATAATATGTCATTTACTTGTATTTGTATAGCACTTTTCTGGTTTTACTGGCCATACAGGACCAATCAAAGCTTTCACGCTTCTGGGTCGTTTGACCCAGCATTTTCTGTTTCTGGTGTTTTTGTATTATTCTGTATTATGGTTAAGGTTCTGATTCCTTAGTTGTGCTGATTATTATTATTATTATTATTATTATTTTTGTAATCCTCATGTTAGGGTAGGTTTAGTTCAGTGTCTTGTCTGTGCCTGCCGTGTTTCCTGTGTTAATTTGAAAGTCCGTGTCTCATGTCAGTGTGTGTAGTTTTGCTTTCTTTTTAAATGTAGTGATATGATTATTGCTTTGGTATGCATTTCTGAGCCACGAAACTGATTAAAATAATGATCTGTCTGAGTTCTGATGTTATTCTACATTTCTTGTCTAATTTAGATATAACCATGATTTTGGAGAAGTGAAGAGGGAGAAACAAATGGATCAGGTGAGCTTTTTTAACGCTAATAAACAACTAATAGCAGTATTTCTGTGCTAGAGGACATTGCAGGATTTATGTAGTGTTCAAGCTTCTGTTATAATTTCCTCTAGTTCTAGATTTGTATTTAATCCTTTTGAACATCCTTTTACTCATGCAGTGGTTTCCTGTGGACAGGGCACTGCATGGTGAAGTTCATCTTAAGCTCCAGTGGTTTTCCCTTCAGACTGACACCAGCCTGCTGAAGGAGGTACAGCAGCTTAGTGTTTCTTTGATGTCACTAACATCAGGATTTTATTATTCATCTTTTAACTGCCGCTGTAGGTAGCTCAGTGTCCAGCTGCTATGTAACTCACGTTCATTCTCTCTCCCAACTCTTCCTTCCAGTCCACGGACAACTTTGCCTGTGCTGTGCTTGCAGTGTACCTGCAGAGTGCCACAGATCTACCAGTAAGTATCTTCTAATAGGGAGTATTAGAAAATACTGACGTAAGTCAGTGATGCAAATGTGCTCAGCTGTATTTTTGTACTGCTCTACAAAAAGATGGCCGTGAGTCTCGAGAAAAGTAGTTTCACTTTATTATCTTCTAATTTTATAAGAATATTTGGCACCAAAGTACAGTATTAGAGCGCTTTATATTTAACTGAGTGTTGCGCCACTGAAAAACAGTAAAAGTGTGTTTATTTGAAATTAAAATTTGACATGGGTATATAAAAAATTCAAGCTTTGTTTTACTCATTAAAAATAACAGAGTGTTATATATTTTACTTCTCGGCAGCGAGCACATAAACATCTAACTTTCTGTGTGATTGCACATATTGTTGTTAAAACCAGCCCACTGGTCATAATGGAGATATTTTTTCATCTGATATCAGATAAAACTGGCGTCAGTTCTGAGAATGCATTTTGTAATTTAATTTCTGCTGCACTAAAAAAGAAAAATAAATCACATAAATTTGTTGTTAATGAAAAATTTAGATATTGGGGGGGTTAAATTTATTTTCTTTCTACTATAAAATTGTCCAAAAATGTAACTCTCTTGAACAATATTTCAACTTTGCTTTCGAGTTTGTGGCTCATAACCAAGGGCAGTCCTTATCTTTCATTGGTACTTAGCTTTTCTTTTTTGTGTCCTAGAGTTGATGATGCTTTTGAATGTTGATGTCTCAGTTTGATCAGGAGCTTTGTGTTATCACTCCAAGTGCTCTTGTGTCTGTGAAAGCTGGCCTTTCCCGTTTGTCTGGCAAATGCCTCTGATTTTACGTAGCTGTGTTAGTGACAGCTGGTCTTCCTCCTGAGCAATGTTCAGGTTACGTTTGCTAGCATAAAGAAGAATGCAGAAAGTGAACATAGTCGGGAACTTTTGAGGAAATTAGAACTATTAAATCTTTTTTTAAATCAGACACACACTGACACATTACCAAGGTTGCTATACTCACAGATCTTTTTATAGTTACATGGTATTATGTGTGAATCCATTCATCTTGTTATTTAGGCACTGGCAGGCAAGGAGCATGTTTTCACAGAGACCAGCTAAACATTTCTCAGTTCTGTTGCCTTCAGAAGCATTGCCTCTGACTGCCCTCTGGTGGCCATAGTGTGACAACGCAATAACACAGTGAAGTGTGATGGAGCATTGTCCTGCATGAAAATCATGTTTTTCTTGAAGGATGCAGACTTCTTCCTGTACCACTGCTTGAAGAAGGTGTCTTCCAGAAACTGGCAGTAGGACTGGGAGTTGAGCTTGACTCCATCCTCAACCCGAAAAGGCCCACAAGCTCATCTTTGATGATACCAGCCCAAACCAGTACTCCACCTCCACCTTGCTGGCGTCTGAGTCGGACTGGAGCTCTCTGCCCTTTACCAATCCAGCCACGGGCCCATCCATCTGGCCCATCAAGACTCACTCTCATTTCATCAGTCCATAAAACCTTAGAAAAACCAGTCGTGAGATATTTCTTGGCCCAGTCTTGACGTTTCAGCTTGTGTGTCTTGTTCAGTGGTGGTCGTCTTTCAGCCTTTCTTACCTTGGCCATGTCTCTGAGTATTGCACACCTTGTGCTTTTGGGCACTCCAGTGATGTTGCAGCTCTGAAATATGGCCAAACTGGTGGCAAGTGGCATCTTGGCAGCTGCACGCTTGACTTTTCTCAGTTCATGGGCAGTTATTTTGCGCCTTGGTTTTTCCACACGCTTCTTGCGACCCTGTTGACTATTTTGAATGAAACGCTTGATTGTTCGATGATCACGCTTCAGAAGCTTTGCAATTTTGAGACTGCTGCATCCCTCTGCAAGATATCTCACTATTTTTGACTTTTCTGAGCCTGTCAAGTCCTTCTTTTGACCCATTTTGCCAAAGGAAAGGACGTTGCCTAATAATTATGCACACCTGATATAGGGTGTTGATGTCATTAGACCACACCCCTTCTCATTACAGAGATGCACATCACCTAATATGCTTAATTGGTAGTAGGCTTTCGAGCCTATACAGCTTGGAGTAAGACAACATGCATGAAGAGGATGATGTGGACAAAATACTCATTTGCCTAATAATTCTGCACTCCCTGTATGTGCAAGGGTTTATTTCTGGTTTAAATGTTGACAGTGGCTCACAGAAACACAGACTCAGCTAACAGTAGTTGTAAACTAGAACAGATGTTCTCACTGCCTCACTGGTTTGCTTTTATTTCAGCTCACAAAGAGAACCACCTGTCCCAACTCCTTTGTGGAAATGTCCATTGACGACGACGTTGTTAAAAGCGAGGTAGGTATTGCTAATACGCCATTTCCACCTTTAAGTGCATATGTCCTTTCTTCGATTATTTTTCTTCTGTAAAAATTTAAAACACTGGTCAGTTCATCTGCTTCAGAGATTGCAGTTACATCCACACATCACAGTGACCGTCTCGCTTAACTAGTACTCTCTTTCCACAGGTTGCGTATGCATCTAAAGATCCAGTTTGGGAAAAGGGTTTCACCTTCTTTGTGCATAATGTCAGTGCACAGGAGCTCATTGTTCAGGTTTGTCATTTACTCCGTACTGTTTGTAAAATAATGTAAAATAAATAGTTTAAAACCTTTAATTTAATAACCTAATTAGAAAAGTGATAGCATGTTCTCACATTTTTTCCAGTTTTTAATCAGAAATGTTCTTCTGTAAACCAATCATTCAAACCTTGATTTCTCCAGTGTGTTGCCAATGTTGCAACACCATATTCCATCTGATCTCTTCATAAGTTTAATCTAATCTTTGTTTTTTCATATTTTCTTTGTTCATGTGGTTCAGGTCAAAGAGCCTGAGAAGAAGAATCTAGTCTGTGTTCTCAGCTTGCCCCTCAGTCACCTGCTCAGAACCTCCAACCTGACTCTAGACCAGCGCTTCATGCTGGAGCGCTCTGGAGCAAACAGCCAGATCAAACTGAGGGCCACTCTCAGGGTGGGCATGAAAGGCTAAAGATCTCTTAGGTTTCCCTGTTTTATTTATTTTAGTTGTTGTTTTTGTTCCCCCCCGCCCCCATTGTGTTATTCACTTGTACTGCCAATACAATTCCTCATCAGCTCTGATGTAAATCTCACACAGATTCTTAATTTGGAAGAGCCTCCATCCCAGACTATCTTCAGTCCTCCTCCACAAGGCAAACAACAACAGGCCAGAAAATCAGGGTACAGCTCAGTCTCCAATCCCTCCAATGCTCCACCCTCCTCTCACACAGCTTCCTCCAACAATATCCCTGCTGCCTCTACTCCGAACCTGGAGGGAGCATCACCAAGCAAAGGCTATTTGGCTCAAGGCTGTGGCTCCTCCCAGGCGCCTGAAAACAGGAAGCAATCATCTTCATCAATAAACTTGCGTCGGTTCGACTCCCACAGCCTGCTGTTAGAGAACGTTATTGATTCATCGCGATTCGACCTGTCAGATGGAGCCTCCTATCCAGAGTGAGAATTGTTCTCTGTGTGTCCATTTCTGTCCTCTAACGCTGACTTTTAATATTTTTACAGATATAATGAACTAAGCAAGATGCTGCATTCTCAAAAGAACTGAAAGAAAGAAAAGGTGACATTCATATATTTATTTTTACCTCTAAAGGGCCATTAGGAATCATCTGGGTTCATTTGGAGAGATTGCGTTGTCTGTACAATATGCAGCCATGAGGAACAAACTCATGGTCTTTGTTAACAATTGCAGGTATGTCACAGCGATCAAGCAGCACCAGTTATGATTTGCATTTTTAGTGTGATGACATTAAACTCTTTTTCTAATAAGCACCATATGTTGAAATAATATATATATACACCTAGGTCCAGGATATTGAAAATATGTCATATAATATGTTTGCAGTAGCTGGTATAAGTCATAAACAGGCTTAATTTAAGAATATTAAGATATTCATTATTTTTGTTTTAAATTATCTGAGCTCAACACATCAGATGAGAAAAAGGCAACAATTAGAAATTGTAAATTGCACATATAATATACAGTTTTCTTTTAAAATCCTCTGTCACGCAGGAATTTATTCCCTTGCAGTGAGAACGGCACAGACTCTTACGTCCGCCTGTATCTCCTTCCTGTCCAAAGCTTGAAGCATCGCAAGAGGACCGGTGTCAAGAAGAGGGCGATCAATCCCATTTTCAAAGAAAAGTGAGCGTAATAAACTAATTCTACATATCCCGTTTGTTTTTTAAAAAACGAAGAGCTGGGAGTTTTAAAGTTTGTGCACAGTGTTACTTTCTTTTACTTTTCTGACAATCATCTTTTGTCACAGGTTTCAGTTCGATGTGACACTCAGGGAAGCACAAACTAGGAAGTTGTATGTGTCTGTGAAAAGTAACAAGATGTTGGTCTCCAGAGAAAGAAAGGGCATTGGCTTGGTATGTTATGCTACGTCAGGGTAAACGGCATTGATACCTTAAAAATAATAAAACTATACACTGAGGAATATTCCTATTTGTAAATAAACATTTTTATAGTAATTAGAGTGATATATGCTTCTGATAAAAATAATCTTAATTTTTAAAAACATATTAAGAAATAATCAGTATTGGTGTCATTAAAATTGTAAGAAATATATTACTATCTAATATAAACAACTCATTTTTTCTGATACAAGCTTTAAAAAGCAGTTTAATCTATTTGTTATCTATCTATCTATACATACATATGAGTGTCAGTATGAAGCATCTTATAAGGGGCAATACTTCCTTGTTTCTGGGTTTTCACTAAAATAACCACTTTCAGCACCAAATACAAACTGGTGCTGGTTTCTTTGTTTCTTTGTTGATTGCAAGTCATGGACTCTAATGTAAAACCGTGTGTGGGTGATTATTTGTTTTTAGATATAGTCACGTGAGTATTTCACACCTGTTTCTCTAAAGGTATGAGCTCACTCTGCTTGGGCTGAAGAAATCCATCTAGCAAGTGGATCTGAGAAAAGCTTTGCAACTTAAAAATCACCTCATCAGCCACTGCAGGGGAAACTGCCGACATGATGCTTGAAGAGTTTCATTCTCCTTTATGGATTTTTTTTTTTTTTCCGAAAGTAGCACTTCCTTGAGATTGAGAGTCTATAATACGATTCTAATGGTATTTGATTCAGGAAATTGTTCTGTACTCATTTTAGTTGATCTCAATACAGCCCTTCATACCATTGACTATGGTATGTTACTTAATAGGCTTGAGGTTTCGGCTGGTATCTCTGGCTTGGTGTTAGACTTGTTTTCCTCTGATTTTTCAGACAGGACTTTCTCTGTTTAGGGTAAACAACTCTAACATTGCTTCTCTAACCTGTGAGGTTCCACAAGGTTCAGTCCCCGGTCTCTTACTACTATATCACTACATCCTTCCTTTAGCTGCCATCGTTCAACCTTTCCATTTCTTATTTATTTATGCTGACATTCAGCTGTTTTTGTCTTTTAAGCCTTACCGGCTCAAGGGGCTATCCACCTAGTTCAATGTCTATCCCAGCAATTGATTTGTTTTGAATTTCAACAAGACTGAGGCCATGATTGTAGCTCCTCCTGAACTACACTGAAAAACCAGTCAAGTGATTGCTTCCTTTTGCTCGTCCAGCATTCATAATTTTGGTATAGTATTTGTTTCTTCTTTAGGCTTTAACTTTTATATAAAATCTATTTCACATTTCTGTTTCTTTCATTTAGGTGTATAGTCTCCTCAGCTGATTCATGCAAACCGTAAAGTTCTTTTTTACTGACTTAGTTAAATCATCTATTTTTCACATCCAAGATTTACAAAACTGTGCAGTCAGACTGCTGATGTGTTTTACGTGTTTTATGTGTGAAATTCACATTCTTGCACAGAGATCACTAAGTGAACAAGGGCTAGACTATTTATCTAAGCTTGTTTTTACTCCTTCGAGCCTTCGATCACAGATTCTGAATTTAATAACTGTTCCTTGTTAGCGACTGAAGGGGGGGGGGGGGTATTGCTATTTATGTTAACTGATTTATTGCGACTTTTATTTTATTCTCTTTGAACTTGCTTTTGTATTATTGTTAACAGTGTTTTTTTTTTAATCTTCTGATTTATTTTTATTGTAATTCTTCCTCATTTTCATTTATTTGAATGCACAGAACTTTGTGCCTATTTGTCTGTGAAAACAGGTGTATTAATAAACATTATTTAATCAAACAAAGCTCAGTTCCTTACTACTGAAGAAAGGTAATGAAATGTTAACGAGATGCTGTACAGCTGGCTGGGTGAAAACCCTCACTCCCAGTCATTCCCATAACGGCATCTAGACCAGCTGTCTTTCCATTCTCCATCCTCTTCACTTCCTCCTTACCAATCCTCTGCATTTCCTGATTCACTAACTGTCATCCCCTCTCTCTCCTTTTGTTCCTTAAAGTTCCTTTCATCTTATCAACACACTCGCACGCATATTAGTACATTACCATCTCTGCCCTTACACCATAACCTGCTGCACATCCTTTCCAGCTCAATCTTGAAAGCTTAAGTGAAACTGGGACCGTTGTGGGGGGGCCACACAAACCACACGGAATTTGATTCTGCTCAATATATTTTCTCTTATAAACTGCTACTGGTAAGAGTAGATGTTTACAAGTGGGTAATAAAAATGTGAAACATGCATAGTGAAAATGCCAGAATTAATCAGCATTGCCAAAAACAACTATGAAGAAAATGTGCACTGACACAAACAAGAGAAAAAGAATACATTGAAAAAGAGTAGAACACAAACCAACAAACAAACATTTGTACATATTTGTAGAGTTTGCATTCAATTAAAACTGGGTGTGAGTTTCGTGTGGTTAAACCCACTGCGTGGATATGGGGATCTACATTATGTGGTTAGATGAGTCATCATTAAATAATAATAATATCAGTAATAATATTAAAAATATTGGTAATAATAACAATATAAGTAATAATACCACCGCCAGTACTATTTGTACCACTACTGATAGTAATGATAATACTAAGAAAAAGACAACAAAAAAAATCAAATGAAGCTAAATAAAGATATTAATGAAAACATGAATTGTGATAAAAGAAAGATGAGAATTGGTAACAAAAAATATATAAGTTTCCTTTTTGTTAATTACGTCATCTGCTATTTCTCCGTTCCTTTTTTTCTTGTCCATGGAGAGAAATGCGGTCTGTTTGGGACTTAAACGAGCGCAATAAAGTTAAACTTCATCACTGAGGAATTTTAAGATCCAAAGAGAACCGACACCTTATAAGCACATCTCCGTGTGCGTGGAAAGTCCTGACTTGAAGCGCACTACTAACACAGTAGGTGCCAGTAAGGAATCAAAAGTGCAACAACGTGCGTGTGATTGTGCGCTCGTGCCCTGATGACGTTACTGTGTAGTTACAACATCAACAATATGGTTCGAGGTGTTTTGGCACTGACTTACACAGCACCTCCCGGTGCAGAATAGGCATACAGCGTGGAAATCTAAGTTCCAGGTCTGGATTTATTTCCGTCATTTTATCCTGCATATTTATTTTTGTTTAAAAAAAAACACGGAGAAGGTTTAGGACTACTATGAGCGCGAGGTAAGTGCGGAGGACTGGTTTGTCTACTTTTCAAATGAAAATGAAATGAAATACACAGAAAGTTGTTCGCCCTCTGATCATACAATAAGTGCGTTTTCTGAACCAGGTCCTCAGACCGTGTCTGACCCGATGGCACAGAAACCGTCCGAAAGCATGCAGTGCACGGACAGGCTGAGCTCCTCGACTGTTAACCACGTAATAATAGAGTTCGTGATGTACTGCGGGAGAGCGGTGTTCATCTGCTACCCTGTGTATCTGTTAGGCTATCTGGGCATCAACATCAGCTGGGTATTGCTGTGCGTGTTTATGCTCACCTACTGGAAGAAAAATCGCCAATGGAAAGTCGCCCGGATCACATCAGCCATCGACTTAGTGGACAATGAAAAACGCGCGATCAAAACCGAGCTGAGAAGTGCCTTACCGATGGCATCCTGGGTATGTTCTGTTTTTCTGTTACAGCCTAAACTTCTGAGGGAGGTTTTTAATCACCACACCTCTTCGTCTTCCACCAACGCCGTCATGCATGACACTGTGACACGTCAACTTTTAACTTTAATGTCCAAAAGTTGATTCTGTTCATCTGGACGAAGCGTTTTGTGGGAGAAACGTTTCACTTGGATGAGTGACGAAACGTTTCTCCCACAAAACGCTTCGTCCAGATGAACAGAATCAACTTTTGGAGATTGACTTACCTGGATGATTGAGCATGCATCAAGATTTCAACTTTAATGCTTTTCCCCCAAAGGTGCAATTCTCTGATGTAGAGAAGGTTCACTGGCTTAACAAGGTACAGTATTCAAACATTTTTCACATGTTAAGAGTGATATTATCTATTAAGTCCTTTTTTTAAACAGGTTCTCTCGGTGAGATTGAAATCTCTTTTTCAAGAAAGATACCAAGACTAAAAACAGGTGCAAGAGTAGTTGCAGATGCACAAATACAACAATTTAAAATTTTCACATTATGCACTGTGATACGCAGAATTTAATTCAAATTAATTCAATTCAATTTTATTTATACAGCGTCATATCACAACAACAGTCACCTCAAGGTGCTTTATATTGTTAATTAGACCCTACAATAATGCATACAGACAACATATGACTCACTGAGCAAGCACTTTGGAAACAGTGTGAAGGAAAAACTCCCATTAGAGACCTTAAGGTGGATATAGATGCACTCATAAAACAATAGCACCATAATCAAGTGGAGACAAAATTGTGGGTTGTGCAATGATCTTGTAGCTTATGAATGAGATATAAAAAAGAAACTATATAAAAACCAGATCTTCATCTTTTTTCTTTTTTTTTTTTTGTAGAAAAGTCTCTTTATCATCCAGCCAGAGTCTCAAGTATCTATAACAATCAACTGTTTCAGCTTTACAACCATAAAAGGTTTGAATATGGACTGTAGGGTGATTCAGTAAGAAGGAGTAGATGCTACAGTCCCTGATAATGCACTGCTTTAGATGGAGAGACTCTTGAGGGATGGCTGTTATGAGGAAAGGCAGCCCAGAAACTTTGTCAGCAGCGCGCATCGTTGTGTGCCTTTTACCCAGGCTAATCTGACATTTTCCTTCCTTGGTTAGGTTTAAGGATTAGAGATCTGATCTAGCTTATGATTTTAAAATTTAGGACAAATTGGATTCATTGGGTATTTCGGCCATCATCACTAGACACCCTCATCCAAGGAGGCCCTGCCAGGGTTGATCAGGCCCTGGAGTGTGTCACTGGTTTATGTTAACTTGTTATTTCTCTTCTTCTTTCTTCTGTTTAGTTTCTCACAGTTTATTTTCTATCTATTCACTGCAACTGAGAAATAATACTTACCTCTTTAGCATTTATGGAGCCTAACTTCTTGAAAGGGATAGAAAATGCGATAGAGAGAAGTAAGACAAAAACAGGGGGCGCCTGATCTGGCGTCCCACACCTCCCTGCCGGATCGGGCTGTACTGGATACCTTTAGGTGACCT